TCGCATCTTAAGGTAGATTGTTTTTATGAAAGGTATTATAGAACTTATTTTTTTATTTGCTTTTATGGAAGTAGCTAGAGTGAAAGTCACTCCGTGAACCTCAGTCTTTAATGGAAGGATAAGAAGGAACTTTTAAACACTGTATCAACACATAAATATAAGAGACTATTAGCATTTTAATACATAGACTCACCCCGTGCCCAATATGTGAAAAATTTAAGGGGCTTACTGTTTACAGTTGCATTTTCTCCAAGGAGAAACTCATAACTAGATCCCTTTAGCAGTCCCAACTTCCATCAATAGGCATAGTCATAGACAAAATTATAGTACTTGTGGAACCAAAAATTCCCCCATCCCTCTTGATTGGTTCAGTCCAGTTTCACATAAAGCTTTAGTGGGATTGTGGAATGAATGGGAGGTGAAAAAGTAGGCATGCTGACTGCTCCCTAAAATGGGCAGGGAGAGAGGTGTTGATATGTACAGAGAGTAAAATGTGAAGGGATTTTTTTGAAGAATGGAAGACATTAGAATATATGTATTTACTGAATGAAGAAACCAAAACAGAGTAAGAGGTTATGTAAATATGTAAGTGAGGCAGGAAATAAATTATGGAGCAGAGTCCCTAAGCAGGAGTATTAATGAGTCTTGCCCCTTCCTTCATAGTGCATAGATTAAGGTATCAGTCATAATTTGGAGTTGGGGGAAGAATACTTCTTCCTCTGAAATAGGTGGAAAGAGTCGAGGACATAAAGTGTCAACATAGGAAAGTTTGTAAAGAAGGTTGTCAGGAATGAGGAGGTCCGATGCATCATCTGCTGACAGGGCTAGGAGTGCAGGTTTTGATGTAGGAGAGCTAAACCGAAGTTGGAAATGGCTGATGAGATATATGGGAAGTTCACTAAAATATGTTTTCAAAAATTGACAGGTGGAATAGATGGTTCAATAAAAAGTAATACCCTACAAAATAATGTCTTTGAATGTGAATGGTTTTTATCCAGAGGTGCTCAACCATTTAGGTATAGTAGTGGATGAGGTGAATAGAAGGAATTGTAAAATTGTATACCAAGTGAAAGCAAATAGAATGAGGGGCTGGCTTCTGTAAAGAATGAAGTGTACCTGGCCGGGTATGGCTCAACCGTTGAGCATGGACCTAATATTCAGGAGATCGAGGTTCAATTCCCAGTCAGGGCACATGCCTGGGTTGTGGGCTCGATTCCCAATCAGGGGGCGTGCAGGAGGCAGCCGATCAATGACTCTCTCATCCTTGATATTTCTATCTCTTCCTCTCCCTCTCCCTTCCTTTCCCTGAAATCAATAAAGATAAATTAAAAATGAAAATTTAAAAAAATGAAGTGTGTGATATTTCCTTTTCATTTTAACTGCTGAATGGTATATTTTGTATCCTGTTCCAATTACATAGTTTGTCATAGTTAAGTTTTGGCGGGGTGAAGTGTTTCAGTAATTTGTTCTATTTGTTATTTTCAGTCTTAAACTTAATGGTTTTTAAAAATCATTGTAAGTCTCATGCTGAAAACCATATGAATTCATGTCTGATTTAGTATAAGAGTTAATTTTTCTTTTTCTGTGTATATTTGTGTTGTATAGGTATAATAGCTGTTTCAACTAATATTTTGATAATCTTAAAATAGGCTGGTAACAAATTGAAAAAATTCTTGCAACAAATTGGACAGCCAAAGAGTTAATAATCTTTCCATATAAAGAACTTTTAGGATTAATAAATTGGGAATGAAAACTTTATGAGGGAGGGGCACAAAAGAACATAAATAGCCTGCCATATAATATATCTTGATGGGAAAGTAATGTTATAAATATGTCAGCTCACCTCAGTTGAAGCTATAAATTAATCACAATTTGTATTGGACTGTCAGGATTTTATTGGATATAGGAAACTGATAAAATATGAAGTTCATCTCGAGGAATTAATTAAGAATTAATGAGTCAAAGAAATTTTGAAGATGCACAATACTTAGGAGAGATGTGCATTATAAGACAGTCAATTATATTAGAAAGCTATGTATTTTATTTTATTTATTTATTTTTTTAAATATATCTTTATTGATTTCAGAAAGAGGAAAGGAGAGGGAGAGAGAGAGGTAGAAACATCAATGAAGAGAGAGTCATTGATCGAGCCCGCAACCCGGGCATGTGCCCTGACCGGGAATCGATCCCAGGTCGACGCTCAACCACCGAGCCACGCCCGGCGGGGCAGAAAGCTATGTACTTTAAAACAGTGTAGCCCTGGCACAAAAACAGCAGAGAGAGAGAAATTGATTTCTAGAACATAGTAGACAGGAGCATTTGAGATCTTGCTTCCCAGAAATTGTCATCAGTTTTGGCTCAAATAAACTTATAAAAATTAAAAAACAAAACAAAAACAAAGTAGTCAAGATAGAAATCAAAGCATATTTAAGAATTAGTATGAGCCCAGCCGGATGTGGCTCAGCGGTTGAGCATCGCCCTAGGATCCAGGAGATCGAGGTTTGATTCCCGGTCAGGGCACATGCCCGGGTTGCGGGCTTGATCTTCAATGGGGGGCGTGTAGGAAGCAGCAGATCAGTGAGGACTATCATCATTGATGTTTCTATATCTTTCTCTCTCTCCCTCTCCCTTCCTCTCTCTGAAGTCAATAAAACATGTTTTAAAAAAAAGATGCTCAGCTGAAAGATAAATTAAAATACAGTATCAAGCCAAGTCAGTCATGAAGAAGAAAGAAAACCTGGAGGACTTACACTACCAAATATCAAGCTGTAACGATTTAAGATAATATGGTATTGGCACATGGATAGACAAATAGACCAGTGGAACAAAACAGTCCAGAGCCAGACTGATGTATACTGTCACCTAATTTATGAAAAAGTGACATAGCAATACAGTAGGGAAAGGAAAATCAAATAAATGGTATTAGTCAATTAGGTATCCATATAGGGGGAAAAGTATCATGACTTTACCTTATACCTTTTTCATCTCATGCCACACGTAAACTACTAAAATTCAGTAGCAAACCAAAAAAATGTATTTTTTTGCTAGTCTGAAAGAAAAATCAGTGTAATTTTGATTCATTCACACCAGATGGCTATTGTCATTTTTTATTTGATAATCTAAGGGAAAAATGGTCAGTGCCTCAGCAGACAAAAACTCCCACCATATTCAGATACTTGGGTACAGTCAAAGAAGCATTGGTGCTACTGATAATTTATTTAGCTTGTTCCAGACCAATCTAATTCTTTCCAATTAAAAAAAAAAAAGGTCAACATAATACTGATAATTAAACCTAAGATAAAAAGAAAGTCTCTAGAAAAACCTCATTTGTGAATCATGAGGCAAAAATTCTAGATAAAATAATCATAAGTACAAATCAACAAGTCTCTTCATATAATTCATCACATTAATAGGACAGAGGAAAACTATCATAGGTTTCTTCCATTGAACTTAAGGAATACACAGTGACATTCTAAACATACACTTAATCAAAAGGTAATTTGAATACACATAAACAAAAATAACTAGTGGTAAAACAAAGCATTCTGATTAAAATCGGGACTATAATAAGGTATCTTCTATTATCAATATCATTAAATTTTTTTAAGTAGAGACTTTTAGACTTACTTCTGGAACTGTATACTACATATTCAATTCTCTGCATCAATGAGTCTTTTGTTCATTTATTTTGTTCTTCAGAATCCACATAAATCATGTGTAAGTACTAATTTCTGACTACCATATATAACTTAAAATGCTTTTATATGAATTGTAGAAATTTGTAAATTTAGTGTTACATTTCTCTTAGCACAAGCATCTTTCTTGATACTAATATGTAATCATACCAACTTTGAGTAGTATTCATTAAATTCATCAAATATTAAGTTCATCAAATTATATTCGTAAGTATAATTGAAGTAAAAATTAAAATTAAATTTTTTAAAAATTCTTTTTTTGTTGTTTTTTTATTTCAGCTTTACCAACAGGGACGCTTATGTCAGCTGGGCAGTGAATTTTGTGAATTGGAAGTTTTTGCTAAAGTATTAAGAGCTCTGGATAAAAGGTAAATCTCTTTTTTTTTTAATTGTGGTAAACTAGCCCTAGCCAGTTTGTTCAGTGGTTAGAGCATCAGACTAAAGGGTCTTGGGTTTGATTCTGGCCAAGGACATGCACCTCGGTTGCAGGCTCAGTCCCTGGCCTAGACCTCATGCAGAAGACAACCAATCGATATGTCTTTCTCACATTAATATACGGGGTAGGGCAAGAGTAGGTTTACAGTTGTTCATATGGAAAATAATACAGTAGTTAATAAATAATATAAGAATAAACTCTGTGTTTTATATACTCACAACTGTAAACCTATTTTGGCCCCACCCTGTATTTGTGAAACTAAAAGCATGTAGTTTGACATTTTCCCCCTTTATGCAAAGCAGTGACTCCTTATCTAGAACATTTTCATTACCCCTCAAGAAATCCTGTACCTATTAACAGTCATTCCCTATTTCCTTTTACCCCTAGTCTCTGGCCTACTGTTAATCTACTTTCTGTCTCTGGATTTACCTATTCTACACATCTTATATAAATAATCATACAATATATAGTCTTTTTGACTGGCTTTTTCTGTAATATTTTCAAGGTTCATTCATGTTGTTCCTTATATCAGTACTCTTTTCTATTTTATGGTTGAATAAATTTCCATTGTATGGATATATGGTTTTGTTTATCTAATCATCTGCTGATGAACATTTTGGTGGTTTCCCCCTTTTGGGAATTATAAGTAATGCTGCTCTGAATGTTCATGGACAAGATTTCATGTGGACATATGTTTTCAATTGTCTTGTATATAAAGCTAGAGTATAAACATATGATAGCCTTATGTTTAACTTTTTAAATAACCTGTAAACTGTTTTCCACAGCAGCTGTACCATTTTGCATTTTCTACTACGGGTGTGTGAGGGTTCCAATTTTTCTGTATCCTTGCTGTTACTTTTTTCTTCTTCTTTGTATCCAAAATGTGTTTATTGGGATGGTTCCCTGCTCATCTTAATTGGAGGTGCTTTTAGTGCTGCTTCCTTCTGAAGGAGCATCCTTCTGTAAGCCTTGCTTTTCCTTCTGTTGGCTGACTGAGAACAGTGGAGCAATCAACACAAAAAACTACTGTTTGTGCGTGGCTAAAGGCGGTGGTGATTTTATAGCATCCTGGGCATTTCACATCCATGAAGTAGGAATTGGGGCTCTGCACCAGGCCCTTCTTCTTGTGTTTCCTCTTCTCTTCCGGAGAGGGGTGAAGGAGATCCTTAGTGAGAGGCATATTGACGTGGGGAGGTTGTCACACCGGATTCCGTTACTTTTTAAACAAAATTATTACAGCCATCCTAGCAGATGTGACATGGTATCTCATTATGATTTTGATTTGCTTTTCCTACTGCCTAATGATGTTGAACTTCTTGTGCTTATTAGCCATTTGTACATTTTGGAGATCTATTGAAATCTATTGCCCTTTTTAAAAAAAACTAAAAACTAAATTTACTGGAGTGGCATTAATTAATAAAATTATATAGGTTTCAAGTATACAATTCTATATACATCATCTGTATATTGCATTGTATGTTCACCACCCAAAGTCACATTTTTTGTCACCATGTGTTTGACACCCCCCCCCATTGTGCTTTGCTGTTCCTATTCCCCTTTCCTCTGGTAACCACCATACTGTTGTCTGTGTCTGTGAGTTCTTGGTTGTTTTTCTTGTTTGTTCATTCGTTGCTTTCAGTTTCATATTCCACATGAGTGAAATTATGTGATTCCTGACCTTTTCTGTCTGATTTATTTCACTTAGTATGATATTCTCAGGATCCATCCATCTTGCTGCGAATGGCAGTATTTCTTTTTTTTCTTATTGCTAATTTTTTAAATTGGGTTATTGTTGTATTATAAGACAATTTGGTTTTTAAAACTGATGTTAAAAGTTAGTTTTATTCTGCCTGGCCAACGTGGCTCAGTGGTTGAGCATCGACCTATGATCCAGGAGATCACGGTTCTATTCCTGGTCAGGGCACGTGCCCGGGTTGTGGGCTCGATCCCCAGTGGGGACTGTGCAAGAGGCAGCTGATCAATGACTCATCATTTGATGTCTGTCTGTCTCTCTCTCTGTCTCTCTCTCTCCTCCCCCCCCCCCTTCCACTCTCTCTGAAAAGCAATGGAAAAAAATATTCTCATGTGAGAATTAACAAAAAAAAATTCTTTTAAATGAAGTTTATCATCAATAAAAAAAAAANNCTCTCTGAAATCAATGAAAACATATTTTTAACAAAAAACAACAAAAACTAATTTACAGATTTTTTTTTTTTTTAAAAAAGTTAGTTTTATTCTTTGTTGCCATCAATTTACACGTACAAGATCACCAAATGATTCACTGAGTAAAGATGGTAGACTAAATTGTGAATTATGGCCTCATAATTCATACGGCAAAATGCTTTTTGTTTTACTCCATCTTGGAAAATAATCGTACTGTTATTTTACAAAAGCAGGCTCGCACTTTCTAAAAGGACAAAATACATTACCCTTATAAAATAACCTTTTCCTTCTCTTTCAGACATTTGCTTCATCATTGTTTCCAGGCTTTGATGGATCATGGTGTGAAAGTTGCTTCAGTCTTAGCTTATTCATTTAGTAGAAGGTGCTCTTATATAGCAGAATCAGATGCTGCAGTAAAGGAGAAAGCCATTCAGGTTGGCTTTGTTTTAGGTAAGTAATGGTAAAATAGAGGAGTGTTTTGTCTGTGACATGACTTGTAATTAAACTTGCTAACAATAAAGGATTCTCTCAGGATATTCCCAAAGTCTGTATAAGGAGGTTGTGAGAAAAACATTAGAAAAATTAGGTGTGATTTATTGAACATTAACTTTGTGCCAAGCACTGTACTAGGCATTTAAGTGCTATCTTTGTAAATCCTCATGACAGTCCAGTGACATATTGGTATTATTAGCATTTTACTAATGAGGAAATGGACTAAAAAATGTTAAGTAACTTGCTGAAGTCACATAGCTAGTAGTCGAGCTAAGTTTAGAATCCTGTGTCTATATGATTTCAAGGCACATATCTTTCTCCTGTGTCATACTGCCACCAGCCTCTTTGACCAGCTCACTATATGCTGTGACGTGGGACTTAATTCTTTTGGGAACTCAGTTTTTCCATTTCTACAATGAGAATAACTCTAAATATCTTTGTGGGAGTGTTACGAGACTCCTGATAACATAAAAAGAAAAGAATTTTGAGGTTTTGTATGCTATATATAAGTTTCCCAAAAAAATGTATACACATACTTTGAATAATTGTAAAGGCAGTGTTTATTAAATTTCATTTCATTTTCAAAATTGAACTGTCAGGTGTTAAAGTGTATAGATTTTGGGGGGACACCCCGTATATAGAAAAATATTATTTAATGTTTGTATAATATGGTGTTCAGCAAATCTAAATAGATAAGTGTTTCAGGCAATTATTAAAGTTGTTACTACCTTTTTTACTTAAAACAATTTTTTTAAAATTTTGAAATGATTGTAGATTTATAGGCAATATCAAAGTCAGAAAGTTGACACTAGTTTAATACTGCTAACTAAACTATAGACCTTATTTAATTTTCATCAGTTTTTTTTTTTATCACACATACAGTGCGTGCGTGTTTCTGTGCAGTTGATTCCATGTAAAGATTCATATAACGATTAACATCAGGATACAGGGCTGTTCTTTCACCACAGACTACCTTTCATTTTTAACTTCTCACATTAATATGTGCATATGCATGTTCTCTCTCTCTCTCTCTCTCTCTCTCACACACACACACACACACACACACACACACACAAAGTGCACATACACTTCCTTTGCCAGCAAGTTTTCGTGGTCATTTCCTTCAGTCTTAGAATAATTTTTTGTGGCAGTCATAGACAATTTGCTGGAGGAACTTCAGAACATTCTTTTCTGTAAAGAACCCTCAGCATTTATCCTTAGTCCTCTGGAATTTAAGTTGCAACAAAGAGTTATGACCAAAGAATGTCTCTAACAATAGAGTGTTTGTGATCTTGATGAATGTTAAGGTCGACATTCCTTTAGTCTTAGATAGTCATGTAAAAATCTGTGGGGAAAATTTAGTATCAAGGAACGTGAAAGGCAGGCAGGCTAGCGTTCATTAAGGTCCTCTGTTATCTCCACAAACATATAGCAATCTGGCCATTGAAATGAGCCACGTTGAAGAAATTCCCTGGAGAAGAGCCAAATCCTAGCAAACTCAGTTACATTATCAGTTTTAATGTTAAAATTACCAAAAGAGGGAACAAACTTCATACTAGAAGTATATAGTGATGGAGATAATTTTTTTAAATAACAGCTTTATTGAGATATAATTCACATACCATGCACTTCACCCATTTAAAGTATCCAATTCAAAGGTTTTTTAGTATATTCACAGAGTTGTGAAAACATTACCGCAGTAAGTTTTAGAACATTGTCATCGTCCCCAAAAGAAATCCATACCCATTAGCAGTCACTCCTCATTTCCTTCCAACACCGCTAGCCCTAGGCAACCATCAGCCTGCTTTCTGTCTCCATAGATTTACCTGTCCTAGACATTTCTCATAAATGGACTCATAAAATATATTATTTCTGTGGCTGGCTTGTTTCATTTAGCATCATGTTTTCAGAGTCCGTCCATGTTGCATAGAGATAGAATTTAATATGAAGAATTTTAAACAGGTATTAAAGAATCGAAAAGGACAAAAAGGGAACACTTGGGTATTACGGACACAACTGCAAGAATCAACAACTGCACCTAGGGCTTAGGGAGCCTAGGATGGGTTGGAATTATTAAAATTTGGAAGGTTGCTGAGTTAGCTCACAGCTGGGGTACTGCCAGGCTACAGGCGCCTCAGACCTCTGAGAAGTAGGGCCAGTGGGTCTAGAACTTAGATCTCTACGAGCGGACCGGACTGGCTGGTACTGGTCTCTCCTGACCTGAGTGCTGTGAATCTAGTTCTGCATTATTGGAAAACTGCAACTGGACCTGGCTTATTGGAATGAATTGCCACTGCCAGAGTAAAGAGCATTATCCTGGGGGCTTTGCTGGCAGGGGCCTTGCTGACAGAAACTGGCAACAAACAGGAAGGAGTGTCTCTTTTTTTAATATTTTTTTATTGACTGATTTGAGAGAGAAATACCTATTTATTGTTCCACTTTTTATGCAGTTGGTTGCTTCTTGTATGTGCTCTGACAGGGAATCGAACCCATAACCTTGGAGTATCGGGATGATGCTCTAACCAGCTGAGCTACCCGAGCAGGGCCTAGGAAGGAGTGGCTCTTGCTCCTCCCCTCCCACTCTAGTGCCTCCTTTCGACAGAGACTATAGGGATCCAGCCAGCAAAGGAGAAAGCTGGTTTCCAGAGTCCTAGCCCCAGTGTCATAAAACAAAGTCCAGAAGGGTTGATTTGAAGCTGGGAGACTAGCCTAATAACCAGCACTACACATAATATATTAGGATGGTGAGTAGAAGATTGCTTAGTGTGAATATGTGTAATAACCGTATTATTCAGTCACCTGGCGAGGGCCATGCATGTTCTCACTCGTACTTCTCTACAATTAAACTAATATTAGTTTAATTGTAGCTTTAGTTAAACATAAAACATGGATATAAGCAAAATACATTTTCTTGACTCATACACTATTGACACTATTTAAAATGCATTAAACTATTGGGCCAAGAGCCTCTAAAACGATGGACAGTATTCTGAGGAAATGATGCCCAGTGCTATCAGAGGACAGTAATTTAATTACTTGCTAAAAAAAATAAGATGAGCAAGCACCACCTTCTCTTTTTATTTGTGTATCCTCAGTGATGTGTGCTGTTCCCTATACTAAGAAGATTAAGTTTATTCAGGTTTGTTTGTTTTTAACTAATTCTCTTAATGTGGAAAGAGCTCTTACAATTCATTTTTTAAAATATGTTTTTGATTCCAGAGTCAGGAAGAGAGAGGAATAGAGAGATAGAAACATCAGTGATGAGGGTCACTGATCGGCTGCCTCCTGCGGACCCCTTGCTGGGGATCGAGCCTGAAACCCAGGCATATGCCCTGACCGGGAATTGAACCAGTGACCTCCCGGTTCATGGGCTGATGCTCAACCACTGAGCCACACTGGTCCAGCTATTTAGATTTCTTTATCTTTGGGATTGGGTATGAAGAGATTGAAAAGTTATGCTTAGCCTTCAAGGTGAAAATATTAGAATTATTAGAATATAGTGGCTAATTAACTGAAAATTTCACCTCTTGGACCATGGAGTCTTCTTAGAGGGTTAACCTTTAAGGTATCAACTTTGATCTATTTCCTTTAGTTTGAAAGTGTGTTGTTTTTGTAATTTCACAATTTGTCTATTTGTTTTGGGCTAAACACAGGACTTTGATATTGTGGGTTTTCTGTTTTAGATGATATTCGTTACAAACGTGTCATTTTAACTTACAAGTGATGTACTA